CTTGAATTTAGACTGTCGTCCATTTAAAAATAAATCAGGCTAACCAAGCTAACGTTTACCGTTAGTCACTAACGTCTCTACTGGAGACTGTTGATGAAGGGCCTTCCAAGCGAGGGTACCATAGCCATCAAACGATCGGCAATTCTCGTAGACGGTGTGGACACAGTTGATGCCTTTTTACTAGTCCAAACTTCCAACAGTGACAACTCCTTTCAGAATGAAGTAATTTGACTGAAATTTTCAATATTTTTATTTATTTTTTTTTATCATCTATTTTTTAATTATTATAGCAAGAATGGCCAACGGTTTATTAAACTCTTAACTAATGTATCTTTAATTCACCACATATGTTTCAAATAATCGCCGTGGTTGACTAATCCTGATTAAACAACACGAGTCGTCGATATACGTTCTAAACATAACATTCTCTTCATTTCTGGGGGATTGGGTGTCTGAATGGTTAGCACATGTGCGCTGTATTATAAGGTCTGTCATTGAGTCAACTGGCGTGGTTTAGATTCTCCGGTTGAGGGTCGCGTGTCCAACCTCGTGGGTTTTCTCCGGGTCCTCCGGTTTCCTCCCACTGCTAAAGACTCCTACGGGCATGCGAATTATTGAAATAAAATATATTAGTCCCGAAATGACCTGGTTTGTGTCGAGTGGACGTTAAACCCTCCCTCTCTTCTCTCTCTCTCTCTCTCTCTTTCTCTTTCATTTCTCGATTTGATGAAAAACAAGTTATAGTGTTGCAGCCCAGGCCCTCGAAGGACGTCTGCCAGCATATATCAGGGGCCTGACCGCAGTAGCCCCCTTAAACTGGCCCCTAACAACATGTCTTGATCCAACATTAGAGGTACTCAGTGAAACCAATTTTTACATGATGAATGAGGTGTTTTAATTATGAAAACAGTAATGACATACAATATTGGGGGTAACACCCCCCTGACAGACATTTCTTAAGGGGGCTGACAAGGACAGCTGTCTATTCCTTCGGATGAGACGAAAAACCGAGGTCCCGTGTATACATTGGAATGCACGTAAAAGATCCCTTGGCAGTTGGAATTCGATATAAGAGTAGGCGATAGTGCCGCTGCCCGGGCAAAATTTCCCTCATAGCACACTGTATAGGAGCAGAACAGTAGGACGTTAAAGCCAATTTGATTTCATTTCATTTCTTAAGGGGGGGGGGTCTCTATGGGTCTAGATCCAATATTGGAGATAACAACTAAAAATTTGTCAGATTAAGGACCATTTAATGGTAAATCATCTACTATGAACGACAGACATTTTAAACAGTGCTTGCCCCCTGACAGACGCCCTCTAGTGAGGAATATTTATGTTGGTGCCAGGCTCAATGTTTGAAATACCACACCAAATTGATTTCTATATTACCTTAGTGTACTTTGAATAAGTTACAGTAGTTGACAGACATTTTAAATGGTGCTTACCCCTGGGCAGACGCCCCCTAGTGCTATGCGTTACTAAGACATTTAGGCTGATTTCGTGTCCATTCGACACAATTTTCGGCATGATGATAAAAATTTTGTGCATCACAAATGCTTTTCTGTTATTAGACAATCGATAAAATCAGTGAATTGATTCCAATGTTGGGAAATACTAATTGTAAAGGCGCCCATAACTACTCCTGCCTTATCCCAAAAGCTAAGCTAGTTCAGCGCATTTACCATCGTCACGTGCATCAAAAGTGCCAAGTCTACAGATGATACTGACATGATCAGCTCTCGCCCATCTGATAATATTACATCCTTAAATGTTGAAGCGATATCAACTTCCACAATAGGTCTGCATGTACATTATGTACCTCAAAAGTCGCGACAGAGAAAAATTCGAAAAACATAAAATCTTAAGTACATTTGGAAAAGGTAGATCTTGGCAACTGCAGACTGTGAAAAAGTGTTGAGTTGACAAAATATTATATTTAAAAAAAAGCAAATATAGAAATACAAATGAAAAATTGGCGGAAAAATATGGAAGCCAGAGTGAGTACTGGTGCCAACTGTCAGATTTTGTCAGTGGTGGGGTCCGTCAGGCGTCCATAACCGCTAATTTACTAACCACACGAAACATATTGAAAAATGCTCAGCAAATTCACATGTATTAACAAAGACCACTGCCAGACATTTTCAGTGGTGGGGTATCGTCGCCGGGCTGGGCAATATACCCAATACTAACTAAAGACTACCTCGTTATTGTGGGAAACTAACATAATACTTCAATTATGTTGGGCAGTATTGGGCAAACTTCTGCCGTCCCATCCAGACGTTCCTATTTCCCCACACAAAAGGCTTTAACCCAGATAAGCATATTTACTTATCGCACGAAACGTGTTGCAAAATGCTCAGCATAAGAATGGCAATAGCCAGATTGTTTCAATAGTGGGATATCCCAACCTGAAATCTAATTTCTCCACCCTAAAAGCTATCCTACATTACCACATGACTAACGTATAGAATGTATCTAAAAACCATCAACATATTCCAACAAATCATAAATGGCCACTCCCAGGTATTTCCAGTGATGAAGTATCCCTGCCACGTGGAACGTACAAACTGTAAATCGGACCGTTCCCAACAATAATTCACTCACCTCGTTCACTGTAACTCTTTATCGAAGTGTCGATGCAGATTCTCTCGTTACAAACCAACGACAAAAGAATTAGACCAAGAAAGCCACCATCACAACACTCACCAGCGATCCCTCAATATTTGTGACCATAATATTATGTACTCCTTATAAACCTGTAACGGCAAATCTCTTTGATCTTTGGGGTATTTTCTATGACAGGAATAAGTTTTTCTTTAAACCTGTAACAGGTTATTCTTCCAGGGTAGGTTTTTTTCATAAGAAAACATGATCTAAGGTTTTTCTTATGGGAATTCTGGGATATTCTCATTTTGCGTACATGTAAACATAGACGGTTTATAAGCAAGGTAAAGTCCTCGACTTCGGTTATGCTGGGGAAGAAAGACTTCAGAAAAAACCCTCGGTCTGCCGGTCTCGGTTTTTCTTTTTTCGGGTCATTTTCTTCCGCCTTTCTTTCTCCTGCATAACCTCAGCCTCGTGCTTTATCCTACACATAATGCAATCTCAAACAATTGTTTTCAAACTTTAACCAAAATCCTGCTACTCAGCACCACAAAGTCAACAAAAACTGAACCATCGCCCATCCGGGTCACCACACAATTTAATGACAGTTCATCCTACCAAATCAGACAAGTATGGTGGATATAAATAGTTGCGCTAATAATATTTTAAAAAAATAAATCACACTGTTGAATGTGTTTATGGTTACTTGCAATTTGATAACACATTTAGAGTGCGTAAAGTTGGGGATAACCTCAATAAGGCGGTTTCACAAGGATCATTCATTTTGAGGTCGGATACCAAAACTAAATCGTCCATAAAAAAATTGCCCAAAGTAGATTGGGGTGACTTTTTTTTGTGGGTACTAGATACATACCTCCTTACAAAAAGCAAAAATCATTTGTTTCGGATTTTTTTTCCTCAGGTCGGAGTGTCTCCTACCAGCCTATATGTAAATATTTACAAACGCCCTATCCTAAAATTGTTAGCCATGAAAAATAATTCATTTTTTATCACATGATTATTTATTTTCCATATATAGGCCATAGCGGCATTTAACAGCGAAATTTGATTTTTAATTTATACAAATGAAACTATGCAAGGGGAGAAACGCAGCACAAAATTCAAAAATTCTTGTCTGTCGCAGATGTCGTTTAGATCACTAAAGGGGATCTAAAGACATAAATATGGCTCACTAAGGGGGGGGGGGGCGTCTGTCCGGGGGTTAGCACCATTTAAAATGTCTGTCAACTACTGTAACTTTTTCAAAGTACACTAAGATAATATAGAAATCAATTTGGTGTGGTATCTCAACCATTGAATCTGGCACCAACATAAATATTCTTCACTAGAGGGCGTCTGTCAGGGGGCAAGCACTGTTTAAAATGTCTGCCGTTCATTGTAGATGATTTACTATCAAATGGCCCTAAAGCTGGTCGTACACGATCAAAGAAAATTTAACAAATTTCTTTGACGGTCTCTTCAAATTTTCTTTGACCGTGTACGAAGCCAGCAAATAAATATGCCCCTACGTCGAAAAACGAAAGTGAAATCAATAGATTTAGATGCGTGAGCAGATTTGTGGCAAATTTATTTGACGGCCTATCGTACACGAGCATAAGTTCCAAATCTTTGAAACATTTATTTGACGAAAAGCTATGCATGCCAGCTTTTGTCAAATCTCATATGGCAAATGAAAATGTGGCAAATTTCCTCTCGTACACGAGCAAATTTATTTGACAAATCTCCATTTGTCAAAGAACACGTTTATTCTACAGGGAAAGACCCCTAGATAACGCTATAGGTGAATTTTGGTATCTCCTTCGTTGGAGTTCGAAGGTTTGGGCTGCCGGTCTATTAAGCTTATTTTAATCGAAGGTACATTGTAATTGTAATTGCTTACTAACCATGGATGTATCAAATGCATCGTTGGCCAAGACAGTTCATTGGGATTTTCCGGTATGGTTCCCTGGCAAGGGACAGCGCATAGTCGTTCGGATGGGACGAAAAACTGATGTTCCGTGTACACATTCACGTGCTAGAAATGGGTCCTTGGAAGATATAATAGTAAGTCTTATCGCCGCTGTCTGGGAAATATTTACGCCATAGGACACTGTATGGCGTATGCCCGTCTTCATTAGCCCAGTCGGAGCAGAACAGTGGGATGTTAAACTCAATTTCATTTCATTTCATTTAGCTTTATACAGATGAAGATGAAATTTATTATGCTACAGAGATTAACTGAGTTTTTAACAAGCATCGACAAATTTCATTTCATTTCCTTGAATTATATTACCGCTAAAATATTCGCATAACAACTTATTGCGTTTTCGAGTCATTGACATGCTGAACCCTAGCCTCATGTATTAATGCATTTGTACGACCACGAGAAAAAAGTTGGTGTTTGGAGAAGTGTTAGGTATTTTGTTTTGTTTTAGGTATTAATATAAGTTGACAAGCAGGTGTTGGTCTTTGAGGAAATGTTACAAGTTTTGATGTGCCGTTGTATCTCGTTATCCAGTTGGTACAATGAGTTGAACCACCGCTGTAATCTACTGTCTTATAAACTTTATTTATCACCTCAAAGTTATATTTGTTATGATCGTGGGAGTGACCCTCCATGTTTCCTTTCTTAGTCGTTTGGGTAAGACGCTAGCTCGCTAGCCTGGAGGTCGGGTGTTCGATCCCTGCATTGGCCGAGAAAGTTCATCCAGATTTTCCGGCGTGGTTCTTCCTTGTCAGTGATGCAGGACGGAGGGGCTGACAAGGAAAGCTGTCTAGTCGTTCGGATGGGACGAAAAACCGAGGTCCCGTGTACACATTGGCGTGCACGTAAAAGATCCCTTGGCAGTTGGAATTCGATATAAGAGTAGGCCTTAGTGCCGCTGTCCGGGCAAAATTTCCCTCATAGCACACTATGGCGTATGCCCGTCTTCATTAGCCCAGGTTAGGAGCAGAACAGTAGGACGTTTAACTCCATTTCATTTCATTTCTTAGTCGTTTGATGAACAGCAAGCATGGTAGCCGTACAGTCAATCACTGTCATATTTCCAGCCCGTGCAAACAGAACCAGCCAATTATCGTAAGCCGGAAGTCCAATAGCAAGCTCTGGAATCGTCTCCCAAGGGAAACTGTGGTCCGTTATAAAATTATCCTCCGCGTCTTTTCCAAAAAGTTGACCCCTTTTTGAAATCCTATGAAGTTTCTGAAAGGTTGATGATTCAGCCAGGGTCACACTAAGAACATTAGTTCTTTGTCCAATAATTAACAGAGGTTCATTTTTGGGTAAAGATGGCGCAGAATTTACAGCCGTTATTGTTTTTATCAACCCATCGTCAAATAAAATATCACTATTAACATAGGCATAGAAACTCGATCCATGGAAAACGCATCACTAAGTTTTTCGTATAACAAAATGATCCTGTAAACATATCTTATTATCCCGCGCCGAACGAAGTGAGGGAGGGATATTGAAACGGGGTTCGTCCGTCCGTCCGGTCTGATTTCGTTTCCGGAGCATATCTCATAAACCATTCAAGATATCTTTCTGAAACGTTGCACACATATCAACCTATTATAGTAGTTGGGCCTTTTGCTATTTAGGAATTTCTGGGATTTATATTTTTTGTGTTTCCATGGAAACAAATTTGACTTAGTTTGGTGTATAATTTTGTTTCCGGGGCATATCTCATAAACCGTTCAAGATATCTATTTGAAACTTTGTACAGACATCTATCCATTACAGTAGTTGTGCCTTTTGCTATTTAGGAATTTATGAGATTTATATTTTTTGTGTTTCCATGGAATTTATGGGATTGATATTTTGTGTAATTCCATGGAAACAAATTTGACTTAGTTTCTGGTGCACCTGTAATACCAATTTTTTTCAGTTATAGTATATGATTCACTCATTATTTACTTTACGAAAGTCTAACATGATCAACATATTGTATTTTGTTAAGTTCACTTTTTTGTATAATTGTTACTTGAATATCTATATTTTGCCGCTTCATTGTTATGCTTTCATAAACCATTTTCTCATCAGTTTCTGGGCATTCCTAAAGGAGAAGAGATGTTTATAGTAAATCATTTACTCATAAAACTCATTTAAATACACATTCAACTATTCATCATTAATTTTAAAAACCTTGCTTGTGTACAGTTATTACTGTTACAGAGAGGAAGAAACATGAATAAATGTGAGGATTGTACTAAATCATTTACATGCCAGCGTAAATGTCTGCAGTAAAATCGAAATGATACATTGCATAAATTATAGGATATATGATTCCTGTTCTAGGTTATTTGGGTATTTGCAAATATACTATTCTTTCATTGATTGGCTCAAAACTTTGTAACAATACAAACAGCTACATGTATACATTACCAATAGCATAAAGAAGTTATTTTTCCCTATTTCTTCCAAACAAGTGCAAGGGCGCGGGATATTGATGACAAGTGATATTGTTTATTTTGCTTCTGATTGCGAACAATATTCAAATGGGAACAAATCAACAGATGATTAATCTGTAATCAACAGTACAAAGTCAGAGGGGTCAAAACTAAAAGTACGACACAGATGTCAGTAGCGCGTGTGCCCTCCACGGGCTCTTTTACGCACGCTGTGCAGCGACGTCGCATGGAATTTACCAATGTTTGAAAGAAGTCCTGGGGCAAATTGTTCCATTCTTGGACAAGAGCAGCTTCTAAAGCAGCAATGGTGTGCATCTGTGGTCTCCGATACAGACGTCGTCCAATCTCATCCCAGACATGTTCTATCGATGCCATGTCCGGAGACATGGCTGGCCAGTCCAAGACATTGATGTTGTTAGCAGCCAGGTAGTCCATACTAAAACGGGCGGTATGCGGAGTGCATTATCCTGTTGGAAGTGCTGAAGTTGTGGGTGCGCTCGAAACAACGGAACAACAATTGGTTGTTAGCAGCAAGGTAGTCCATACTAAAACGGGCGGTATGCGGACGTGCATTATCCTGTTGGAAGTGCTGAAGTTGTGGGTGCGCTGGAAACATAAAAACATCACGGTAGGCTACAGCATTAACGCGACCCCTGCAAATATGTAGGGCGGCCCGGTGATGAAATGTGAAGCCTCCCCACACCATTACACTTCCCCCACCCCATCGATTCGTTTCGAAGACGCAGCAGTCTGCAAGACGTTCCCCATGACGTCTCCACACACGTTGACGGCCATCACCGTGATAAAGATGAAAGCCAATCTCATCACTGAAGAGCACACTTTGCCAGTCTACTCTTCTCCATGTCTGGTGTCCTTGAGCCCATATCAAACGCCGCTGACGGTGATGATCCCTGAGGATAGCTCCAACATAAGGTCGTCGTGCACGGAGTCCTACTTCTCTTAGACGACGTCTTACGGTGTTGGCACTTACTGGTCCTTGTCTTCCGACGACTGCTGCTCCTGTTCGAGTCGCCGGGCGGAATCTGTCACGCAGATGAGTGACACGGATGTAGCGGTCTGGAGCCTGGGTTGTAACGCGTTGTGGACCAGGACGTTGACGGTCACGTGTTGATCCAGTAACTCGAACACGTTCCACCAACCTTACAATAGTGGACTGATGACAATTGAAGTGTCTGGCAATATCACGTGTAGACATGCCAGCCCTGGACATGGACATGGACATGGCTTCATTCCGTTGATTTTGAGTAAGTCTCGGCATCTCTAGCTCGATTCCTTCACACGTCCAACAACAAATTACGACAGATTGACGTTTCACAGTTCATGTACTGCACATTAAGTTGAAAACATGCTTTTTAAAGGGCTCACACACAATGCTGCACGTGAATATTGTGTTTTTCATGTGCATCTCGTGCAATTATTTTTTTGTGCGCACGGGCCGATATTTTTTGCGTTTGGGAGCATTGTGTGAAACAATAGTTCATAGTATTGCATAATATTATACATACAAAACCACCTAGTAATAAAATATTTGGGAAAAAAGTGATGCGTTTTCCATGGCGCTCAGTATATATTTCAGTATGGGCACATGATAAGGTGACATATGAAGAAGAGGCAGGTATTTCCAACCGTATTCAATAGCTTGTGCAATAACAGCAGATTCATTAGTAAATACAACTGGTTGGACGTGCGGCTTAAATTTTTTCCAGTTCAGAAACGTATTTATGTGGACCGTTGTCTTTGGATCACTCAATATTTGTCTGACTGGCTGTTCCGTGATTTTATCTGTTCGGTTTAAGTTTTCTGACGGTTCTATGTGATTGTTTATAAATATTGAGTTTTCTGACGGTTCTATGTGATTGTTTATGAATATTGAGTTTTCTGACGTTTCTATGTGATTGTTTATGAATATTGAGTTTTCTGACGATTCTTTTTGATCGTTTATAAATATTGAGTTTTCTAGCGGTACCGTTTGATTTATTATACATTTTGAGTTTTCTGTTGTGCTCTTGGGTTTTAAACGATGTTTGTTAGATATCTTCCAGTATCGGGTATCCAACCATCCTTGTTGGATAAACAAACGACAGCCACACACCAACAGGACTAAGGGCCATACCTTATGACTCCTTACCAGGAACATCTGTAAGAATAATATATTGTTATGAATACTTTACTATTGTCCTTAATATGTACAAAATACCTGTTTAAAGATACATTATGTTAGTATGAAAGATTTAGATAAAGAGCTTGCCAGTCGTGCTATAATAGTTCAAAACTAGATGGGGGTTGGATGGCCGAATGGTTAGCGCGTGCGCTCTGTATCGTAAGGTGTGTCATTTAGTCAACCGGTGGGGTTTCAATTCCCCAGTTGTACGTGACAAGTAGTAGGATCGCCTGTCCAACCTCGTGGGTTTTCTCCAGGTCCTCCGGTTTCCTCCCACTGCTATAGACCCCAACGCGCAAGCAAATTATTGAAATAAAAAATTACACCATATGTTAGTCCCGAATTGACCTAGTTTGTGTCGAGTGGACGTTAAACCCCATTTCTCTCTCTCTCTCTCATCGGGATTTTCCGGTGAGGTTTCCAGGATGGATGTCAAAATACTAAAACCGTGTTATCTCCCTTTAGCCATATTGATCCGCATTAACATGACTTACTATACCAGAATATCAAGGGCGTGGATTTGTCTTAACTTTTTTGGGGGTGGTGGGGGTGAACTCTGGAACCTAGAAAATTTCATTACCAAACCAAAATAATAATTACGAACAGTTTACTGTACCAGTGTTATTTCGATGAAAGCTGTAACTAGGGGTTATATAATTAATGATGGCGATATGGAAAAATGGACTACCTACAATTTAGGAGGAAGATATCGTGAAGATCAGTAACACTGTGGCGAGACCCTGGTTAGATAGCCTGGAGATCAAAATCTTGGCGGGGGGGGGGGGTGCAGAGACCTCTCTCTCTCACTCTCTCTCTCTCTCTCCATTTCTCGATTTGATGAAAAACAAGTCAAGTTAAATGAAATGGAATGAAATGGAATGAAATGGAATGAAATGGGGTTTAACGTCCTACAATTCTGCTCCTAACCTGGGCTAATGAAGACGGGAACAAGTTAAGCTTATTTTAATTGAAGGTAATTGTAATTTCTAACTAACCATGGATGTAACAAATGCATCGTTTGAAAACAAATTGTATTTAGATCCCGGTGTTGGCCGAGAAAGTTCATTGGGATTTTCCGGTGTGGTTTCCTTGCAAGGGACAGCACATAGTCATTCGGATGGGACGAAAGCCCGATGTTCCGTGTACACATTGAGGTTCTAGTAAAGGAACCTTGGCAGATATCTTAGTAGGTCTTAGGGCCGCTGCCCGGGCAATATTTCCGCCATATACAACTTACGGTCGTTTTCTCTTTGATGTCCAAGCGGTTATATTTCATAACAACCTGTCATGACGTCATCATAGGTTGATATATTCGGTTCATATCAACCACTGATGATGTCATGACAGGTTGATATGAACTCTAATGACGTCATCTCAGGTCGATATATTCGGCTCATGTCAAGAAGCTTTAATGAGGTGGAGGCGGCATGACGTCATTTTGGTGAAGTCATCGACGCCATATTGGTTAACCCAAAACAGTGTCTCTCTAATTATTTTGACAATATGCCGGGCTGTTCCGGGTAGACGAACAATGTGAAAAATGAAATAAGAAATATAATACTTCCTGTGAAAAAAAAAATCCTTTTGCCTTCTAGTCAATCTGCATTGTGCGATAGTTTTCGTGCTTTAAATTGACGAATGGATAAAACGTTTAAAATCAGTGTAATAAACACTGTCTGGCAAAACTCTATGAGTAGTCATTCTGCTTTATGGGCGCCATATTTTTCGTGCCTCATTTAATTGATTTATCAGTTTTTCGGAACGTAAATTTCTGTAAATGCAACTGATTGAGCTCAGATGCGTATCGCAAAACCATATAATTAAGGCTACATTTGAGCACCTTCAGTTTGCTGTATTCACGGACTGAATTAACACCCCCAACATATACACCGACTGTCTTGTTATATAGGATACTGCATATATTGGTGGAATTGAACTATTTTTGGACTAGTATTCGTATTAAATATTCAACTTCCACATAATAGTTTGCAGAGGATTCATGTAGAGCAAGTTTTTAATTGTAACAAATGTAATGTAATATTCTTCTTAAATAAGCTTTAATTATCAATGGATGAAAAGTCATATAAATTCCTATTATATCTAATAAATAATAAAGCCCAGAGGCGTGCTGGGGCCTCCGAGGGTAGACAGACCAAGGGGGGGGGGCGTCACATGCCAGAATGGAAATGAAATGAAATGAAATGGGGTTTAACGTCCTACTCTTCTGCACCTAACCTGGGCTAATTGAAGACGGGCATACGCCATACAGTGTGCTATGAGGGAAATTTTGTCCGGGCAGCGGCGCTACGACCTACTCTTATATCGAATTCCAACTGCCAAGGGATCTTTTACGTGCACGCCAATGTGTACACGGGACCTCGGTTTTTCGTCCCATCCGAACGACTAGGCAGCTGTCCTTGTCTGGCCCTCCGTTCTGCATCACTGACAAGGGGAAACCACGCCGGAAAATCGAGATGAACTTTCTTGGCCAATGCAGGGATCGAACACCCGACCTCCAGGCTAGCGAGCCAGCGCCTTACCCACTTTGCGACGTGATCCCCCATGCTAGAATGGATTTGACGTATATTTGAGCTACGGCATACCATACATTGACACTTGGTTAAGGGATTATGATTAAGTCCTGAAGATGAGAACATAGTTAGCAACAATCAAGAACTAAACGACCTACGAGTAAAGAAAAACAAGCATCATTTTGAATATTATGGAAATATTAATCCGGTTGTGAAATCTAATCTGTAAGTCATCAGTCCCTTGGCTGAAAATGTCAACAGGCATATTCTGGTCATTGTCCGTCGCACACAAATGCAATTTGTATGTCAGTATGGTTGATAGATTTATTTGGCACACCATAATAAATCAAATCATAACATATTTTTTTAGAACTAATTTGGGGGGCGCCTTTAACATTGGGGCTCTTGGCTGCAGTCTGGTCAGCACCCCGCTTAATCTGGGCAAAGTGGAAATGACTAAACAATCTACCAAAATATGAGCCTCTGTCACTTTCTCCAGAAATTTGTGCCACAATCCTACATTTCTTGATTGGCCCAGGGCAACAAGTACAGTTACAACTTATCGGTTGTCAGAGGCGGCTGGGCCTCAGACCACCAGCGAGTTAATAAATCTCTGAATAGTTCGAGTTGAAGTTCCAGGTTTAACCGCTATGTGTCCTAATCACCAAACGAAATGGATGCCACGCAATTCTCGGACAGGCTGTAATCTGAAAAGTGTCTATCCTATCCAAGAGCTATCCATCTCGTTGGAAGGGCTAAAAATCTACTTGTTTCTGAGCTTACTTTCATTCCAGGGTCAAATATAATCACTTGAACCATAATAATATTCCATCATATTCCGAGGGCCGCACACAGGATTTTTTTCTGGATTACTTTTCGAGCTTTTTTCCCCAACTTGTTGACCAGTTTTCCTTGAGAAAACCCCAACTTTCGCCCAATTGTCCATTAAAAAACTACATATTCTATCTTACTGCATTGACGGGATGTGGTAAGCTGGACGTCTGTAAAGTGGGTTGATCGATAAATTTTCAAGGAAGCAATTGTTGTTTTTAGGACTCTAGCCGATGAGGCTACTTTCCCACCCGAGAACCTCAGGCAACCAATCTGTTTTATGTACTACTTTCGTAATGAAACATTACTATGTTAACCACTTCCTGGTGGCTGAAGACTTATACCGAATGCGTATTCGGAAAAAATGTCCCCGAGAAAATGTTTTTTCCGACAATCGATATTCGAGATGTCTTCTGTTGCACAAATTATGCTGCACTGTGTAAGAACTTGCATCCTTTGATCTGAAGATTGTAGATGGAAAAGTATCATTTGCACTATTTCAAAGTAAACCTGCATTTTCGTATATCATCCCGTAATTTGTGATTAATGACAATGACTGTGGAAATAATATGGGTTGAGGAACGGAAGGTCTATGTTCGTCACGTGACTGGACAATTCCACCCCCATCGGGCACAGTTTACTCTTCTAATTTTTCCGGTAGCTATTTAGTAACCCGGAGTTTGAAAAAAAAAAATTTTGGGGGGGGTGGGGGGCTATTTGTAAAACGAACATCGTAATGACCTTGACCTTCCTTCATCGGCGCTCACTTGGTCCAAACCCGCACACAGAGGACCAGGCTCCGGGTTACCTATTTAGGGTGTTTTCCGGTATTTAGGGTGTTTTCCGGTATTTAGTGTTTTTCCGGTGTTTTCCGGTATTCAGTATAAGATGGTGTTTTCCGGTGTTTTACGGTATATAGTATTGCCGAATTTTCTTTCCGTCCACATTTCGATTATTTCTCCACACTCCAAGACGTGAAAGTATTTATCGCCCAAGAGTTCCTTGTAAAGTATTTTTGGGTACAGTCCACTTAAAACAGTCGGTCAAATCCTTCTGTGAACATACCGAAAACCTTCAATCACAGTTCACTGTCATAATTATCGGAAAAGATTGCCTTTTGATCCAAATTTTCTCCAGGCCTTGGATACATCCACATCGATATTTGCATTCACATCTATTCCATCGTCAATATGTTGGCTAAAAAGAATTGATTATTTGCCTGACTTCGTATTACTCTCCATTTTGTTTTTGCTTTCAATTCAATTACTCCAAAAAGGGGACGTATAAACAAAAACATGCACGTACATTCACGTGATTACTTCCGTAATGTTCGCTATTTGGCGGAAACTATCGAGCAATTATCCAATCATTGTTGCCTTTTAATGGAACATTAAATTTAAGGGTGAAATAGCGTTGTATATGTCGGATATAAACCTACTCTCGCTCGCCCGCGTGTTCTCTATCATATCAACCTCGGGTAGGTTAATATCCTATGCCCGTCTTCATTAGCCCAGTCGGAGCAGAACAGTGGGACGTTAAACTCCATTTCATTTAGGTTCAGACAGATTGAGATGCAATTAATTATTCTACAGAGATTAACTGGGTTTTTAACAAGCATCAACAAATTTTATTTCATTTCCTTGAATTTTATTAACGCTAAAATAATCGCATAATCAACTTCTTTTTGCGTTTTCGAGTCACTGACATGCTGAACCACCTGAAAAAAAGTTGGTGTTTGGAGAAGTGTTAGGTATTTTGTTTTGTTTTAGGTATTAATATAAGTTGACAAGCAGGTGTCGGTCTTTGAAGAAATGTTACAAGTTTTGATGTGCCGTTGTATCTCGTTATCCAGTTGGTACAATGAGTTGAACCACCGCTGTAATCTACTGTCTTATAAACTTTACTTATCACCTCCAAGTTATAGTTCTTTGTGCCCACTGCACAGTGTATTTAAACTCAAAACAAAGTAAAAGTTCAAAGTTTATTAGAATAATAACCGCTGAACTCTATCCCATATTTGAAACACAGTGAAATTCACAACAGTCAACCGATGTACATACTAAATCATATATGTATTAGAAAAACAGTTTACTGAATGGGTTTAGATATCCGCATCTAACCGCACATTAACAAATTCACGGAATTCACTGGTTTTCAAGTTGTTTGGGGTCACATCCTCAAACAAATACCGAATAAACCGTCCACACTTGGAAATGACAACACGCCATCATTATATTTTTACCGCGAACTCTCAAACCGAGGCTCGGATTAAGACCGCCAGTAAGATTTTCCGAAAACCAGTGAAACCGAAAGTAGACATCAAACTCTACCCTTATACATTTTACAAAATAACACTATTAAACATATACTAAAGGGATATGGTAGCTACACCAGCCCCTACATAAAAATGACAGTAAACATTTTTATGTACAAAAAAACCAATTAGCTACCATTTTAATTCTTATGGCTAACTCAATAATAAATACAAATTACAGATTTCCAAACAGTTACTTTAACATACATGTACATCAATAACTAATTATCTAAGATAACAGGTTCGTCCAATTCAAGTAAACATACTTTATGAATTGGTCGAGTAAGAACCACATAACCATCTTTAATATTAGCATCCTTGTGATGCTTTGCACAAGTCGCAACGGTTGCTTTTGTTTTAAGCTTAACGGTGCGCACAAACCCATCCTTAGACACAAATACTTCCACAATTCGAGCCAAGGGCCACTGACCGCGTGGGTAATTATCATCCGCTAAAAGCACTAGATCCCCAATGCAAATGTTACGTTTGGCGTGATTCCACTTAGATCGTTCCAATAATGTAGGCAAATATTCCTTTACCCATCGGCGCCAAAAAACATCACTCAAATATTGGGCCTGTTTCCATTTACGTTTTAAATATAAGTCCTTCTTTTCGAATATACCAGGGGGTAAACTATTACTACATCTAAGATGCAACAAATGATTTGGTGTTAAAGGCCCGTCGTCTAAAACACTATCACTGTTTCTCGTTAACGGCCTACTATTCAAGATAAACACCACTTCAGCTACAACAGTTAATAAAACTTCATCCGAAACTAACTGTTCCTTTAATACAGATTTTAATATTTGGCGTACTGAACGAATCATTCGCTCCCACACACCACCCATGTGGCTGGCCGCAGGTGGATTAAAATTCCAAGTTATATTCCGCTGAACACAAAATCTAGAGAGTTTAGACTGATTAAAATCCTTAAGTGCCTCTTTAAGTTCCTTATCCGCGCTTGTGAAATTCGAACCATTATCGCTCCATATCTCCTCTGGTTGACCACGAACACTAACAAATCTCCGTAAGGCATTTATCATAGAATCCGTGTTTAGTGAATGTGCAATTTCTATATGCACAGACCTTGAAGTCATACAAGTAAAAAGGCAGCCGTACCTTTTCACAACACTTCGTCCCTGTTTCACTAACAAAGGTCCGAAATAATCAATTCCAACGCACGAAAACGGTGGTTTATCAGCAACAAGTCTTTGTTTCGGTAAATTGCCCATAAACTGAGTTTCGGTTGGCTTAGATCTCCTCTGACAGGTTACACATTTTGAAAGTATCCGTCTTACCGCTGATCGGCCTTTTATTATCCAAAACTTCTGTCTTAAAGTGGCAAGAACCGTTTCTTGTCCCATATGACCGACACTAACATGACACTCTCTAATTATTAAGTCCGTAACCGAGTGTTTGTATGGCAAAATTACTGGATGTTTCGCCAATCCATCAATTGAAGCATTCTCCAATCGACCTCCAACACATAACAGTTCATTTTCCAGTTGAGGATTCAATTTAACCAACGAAGATCCAACTTCCTTTAATGACGATTTATTAGACTCAGATTCTAAACTTAAAGCTTTATACGTCTTTGGAAAATCTCCTTTCTGGACAAATTTAATTATTTGCGATTCGGCATAACTTATTTCTTGTACAGACAAATATTTTAATAACTGTCTTGGTTTACTCCCGTTTAATCGTTCCGACACTTTGTCTCTTAAAATAGTCTTTAGACGTATCAGATAAGCAACAGCTCTTTTTAATTTCCACCAAGATGAAAAATATTCAAACAGTTTATCAAACAAAGTTCTGTCCGGGACATTAACCGTAGCATACACTTGAGCTTCTTTACGTATTTCTGGATCAGTATCCATCATTTCCGGAATGTTCACTTTATCCGGCCAAAACAACTCATCACGATACAAAAAGTCAGGTCCCGTTAACCACCTATCGTTTTGAATAAACGATTTCATCTTTAACCCTTTAGACCCGTCGTCAGCGGGGTTAATGTTCCTGTCAATGTACCTAAATTGAGAGGGGTTTGAACCTAAATGAATAACGGTTAACCGGTTTGATTCAAAAGTGTGAAAACGTTTAGTTTTATTGTTAATACACTTAAGAACCGACATTGAGTCAGTCCAATACACAACTTTGTTAATTTCAAAGTCAATTTCACTCTTTATCAAGTGACACAATTTCACGGACACAACAGCAGCCGATAATTCCAACCGAGGAATTGATATCTCCTTCAATGGAGCTAACCGAGCCTTGCCCATTACAAAAGCACAATGGATGTTCATATCTCTATCTACACATCGTAAATAGGCTACTGACGAATACCCTACTCTCGAGGCATCCGAAAAAACATGTAACTGAATATCTACAATATCACTTGAGTCTTGTAATTTATAACACCGAGGAACTTTAATCTCCGATAAACGATTCAAATCATTTAACCATCTAATCCACTGATTTTTATCAATGTCTGGAATTGAATCATCCCATCCTAATTGTTTCCTGCTTAACATTTGCAGCAATAGTTTGGCTTTCATAAGAAAGGGCGCAACAAATCCGAGGGGGTCAAACAGTGAATATGCAACAGAAAGAATACCCCTACGAGTCATAGGCTTGTTTAATGCGCTATTAGAAAGTTTATCAGCATTTTCCCAAACAAAACAATCCGATTCGGTATTCCACTTGATACCTAAAGTACTTTGGGTTGGCAACTTTTCAATGTCAAGGTTAACAACGGATTTTGCTCTCTCCGCTTCCGGAATGGTGGCTAAGAACTGTCTATCATTGCTACACCATTTAGTTATGTGGAATCCACCTAAAGACAAAAGTTCGGTCACTTCGTGATACAGCTTGGTTGCATTTGCTATAGTGTCTACCGATTTCATTAAGTCATCCACGTACATGTTATTTAGAACAGTCGAGATTGTTTCCGGATTAAATTCACTTTCATGAGTTTTGGCACACATTTTCAGACAAAAGTTCGCTATACAGGGAGAAGATGTTGCACCAAAAATATGTTTAATCATCCTATATTCTTCAACAGAACTAGACAAATCACTGTCTTTAAACCACAAAAATCGTAAAGCATCACAGTCCTTCGGGTCCACACGGACTTGGTGAAACATGGCCTCGATGTCCGAAACAATACCAATCTTATCCTGCCGAAATCGTAAGAGAACACCAGTTAACTGATTCGCTAAATCCGGTCCTTGAAGCAATTGATCATTTAAAGATGTATTGCGAAATATACTAGCACAATCAAACACAACCCTGACCTTATCAGGTTTTAAAGGGTGTGTTACCGGGTGAGTCGGTAAATACCAAACTGGCGATGTCGTGTTCACATCCTCTGCTGGCACTAATTCAGCATGACCACTGTCGATGTAACCTTGAATGGTATCCTTATACCGATCAAATAACGTTGGGTTTCGTAGAAATCGCCTCCTTAACCCGTTTAGTCTGTTTTCAGCCACGGTCCTGTTATTTGGAAGATAGGGAGTCACGCTTTTCCACGGAAGGGCTACTTGGTAGTGGTTATCAACTTTAGTTAAACTGTTTTCTATAATTTCCAGAGCTCGCTTATCACTAACCGACATTCCTACTTTATTATCAACTTCAAGATCAGCAAAATCTGTGGTCCACAAACGATCAAGTTGATGTTTTAAAAGTTCATCCGAATCTGTTACCGGTTCGACTTTTAAATAGTTTACTGTAAAATCATCACAACTTTTCGAGTCATTTAAAGGTCCAAGAATCATCCATCCCAAATTATACCGAACGGCAATCGGATCATGTTCATTTCCTGAAGAGCGAGATTCAAGGGGGATAAACAAACTGGGATTCTCCTTTAATCCAACTAATAAACTTACTTCAGGAATATCGACGTGTCCCAACGAAATATCATCTAAATGGGGATAACTCTTGATATCATCCGTCATCGGGATACAATTTTTAGTAATAGGTAAGTTTTTAACAGTTTTAACATTTTCTAGTTTATACGACACAGTTCCGTCTAACGATGAAACAACAATATCAACATTTCGGCTGGTAATTTCCGTTGAACCGGTCACACCAGTCAAGGTAAGTTTTTGGGTATCATCATTCTCGTGGATCTCCACGTTGTTTTCAGCACATAAACTTAATTCACTGGCAGTATCCTGTACGAGGTAAGTCGTAAAGGATTTTCCTTGACCTATTTTTAGTCTTACGGGTATAACACCTAAAGAAATGCGAGGGACGCCAGCCCCAGTAGCGGCTGTAACCGATCTATTACTTGCAACTTCCTTTAGGTTAGTGTTTTCGGTTGTAATGTCCTTCCTAAAGGCAGAAAAATCGGCACCGTGTAATAGTGTATTATGGTTCCTCATACAGCCTTTAATTTGACAAACAAATGTTTTATCACAAACTTTAGCAACATGACCAGTTCGTAAACAGCTGATACAAAGTCTGTTCTCAAAGACAAATTTAACACGATCTTGATTAGACATATTGAGAAACTTTTCACAATTCCAGATATTATGTGACATAGAACAATGTAAACATTTCACATTAGTAGCACCCTGCTTACTAACAGTGTCCTTTGGTTTAAACAAAGGCTTCCTTTCCTCCGTTACAAGTGTAGTTACAGGCCTACTATAAAATTTTCGTTGCTTACTATTATTATTATCTTTAAGTTTATCATTATAATGACTGTGATTATTAGAAAGTAAATCTTCTCCGTATTCGTTGTTAACTAACTTCGCACGGTTCTTTATAAATTGCATAAAATCATTAAATTTTGGGCGAGAACCATTATCCAAGATTTTACCCGCTACTTCTACCCATTTGGCTTTCATATGTAAAGGCAACTTTTTATTTAATGATCTGATTGTATTAATATGGTTTAAATCTGTCACATATTCTGGTCCCATTCCCGATAATACTCTGTACGTGTCTTCCAAATTACGTCCGAACTCCAACAACGACGCACTGTCTGCGACTTTAATTGGGGATAAATTCTCAAGTTTTTTCAAATGAGCGTCTGCTACAATGTGTGATCGACCGAAATTTTCTAGTAATGTTTTTCTAGCTGTGACATACCCCTCCTCGGGTGGTAAATTTACGCAACTTTCTATCGCGTCGCGTGCCTTAAAAGTACAATGTTGTATCAATAACTGCAGTCTCCTAGAACTGTCTGAGTTTTGGCTTTCTAAACATGTTTCGAAATTATGAATGAATGATGCGTATTTCAGCGGATTCCCATCAAAGTGTAGATATTCCAACTTTGGTGTTAACATAGCTTCACACAATTTTGTCATCATGTCACTGTTATGTGAAGAATTTACATAACCGTTTGGGGACTGCTTAACTTGTTGATTTACATTTACATTATCAACGTTTACATTATTATCATCATCGAATTGAATCAAATCAGAACTTAAACTATAATTTAATAAACCTGTACCTGTATTTGGTAAGTTAGGTAAAGGGTTAATATGTTCATGCATTGTGATAGGATTTCGTTGAGAAAGTACAAACGGATTATTATTATGATTATTATCAATATGATTTACAGACATATTATTTGACACAGCAGATTGAAAATGCCCTGATGAAATATTACTAACAGGCGGTGGTACAGTGAAATAAGGTCGAACAACATTATTCACATGTGGATTAAAATAAGTAGCAGTGTTTACACCAGTACTTTCTGCTGTATGAACAGGTAAACAATGATTAAATCTATCATATGGCATAGAGTAAACAGTATAAGGCCTATCATGCATAGATGAAGGAATATTAACAGATGTAAACAAAGGTAAATTATTAGAGCTACAATAGGCACTACTTGACATAAACACAGGTAAATTACTGGAGACAGTTATAGGTAAACTATCTGATATAGAGGCTGACAAACTCGATGAGACAACACTAACAGGATTAAATTGTTCAACAGGAGGGGGTGGGACATATACATTATTAGCATACATGGCAGAATTAGCATTAGCAATACTAGTTTGCAAGTTCATTTTTAAGGGAGATTCAAAATTATCAAAGTCATTAACATAAGGAACAGTAGACACATCTTTTCTTTTTTCTTCATCAGATTCTTCATCCGTGTAAACTTTGAGGCTAACTTCTGCCTGTTCTTCCTCCATTTTTGCTTCCATTAACTCTGATTGGTGCTTTAATTCTGACATTTTCTGTTCTAATTCATGTTTTTTCTGTAACTGTGTTACCTTAAGCTTAGCCAAGGCTAACTGTTCTTTCTTCTTCAAACGAACTGAGCTTGAATTGTGACTATCAACACTACCGAATAATGAATTCTCATCAGACTTTTTCTTCATTTTATCGTTTTGCCACGAAATTGTCAATTTGTCAAATTGTGTTTTCTGTAACAATTCACTCTCGTATAATTGACGAGATGCGTCTTCATCTTCCGTGTCCACCAAATCTTTATAAATATTCTCGTGACATCGAACAAAATTCTTCCACGCACTTTCGTGTTTTGAGATCCTATACTCAATATTACAAAATGAGTCCTTAGTAGTTATAAGATACCGAATCTCTTCTTTCAGCTTTCGGACTTGTGTGAGATATATATCTCGTTCCCTATAAAGTTCATTCCTCCTAGAGACATTCGGGAACTTGTCAATGTCGAGATCCATACTAAGTTCACAAGTAGGCCTTAATGTCAACAAAATAATAAAGCACCAAAACATGAATTACGTCATATAAAAACACACCAACTGTTGAATGGTAAAACACACCAGTCTTAATGTAGGTCCGCTTACAACTTGAAAACTTCATGTGCCCACTGCACAGTGTATTTAAACTCAAAACAAAGTAAAAGTTCAAAGTTTATTAGAATAATAACCGCTGAACTCTATCCCATATTTGAAACACAGTGAAATTCACAACAGTCAACCGATGTACATACTAAATCATATATGTATTAGAAAAACAGTTTACTGAATGGGTTTAGATATCCGCATCTAACCGCACATTAACAAATTCACGGAATTCACTGGTTTTCAAGTTGTTTGGGGTCACATCCTCAAACAAATACCGAATAAACCGTCCACACTTGGAAATGACAACACGCCATCATTATATTTTTACCGCGAACTCTCAAACCGAGGCTCGGATTAAGACCGCCAGTAAGATTTTCCGAAAACCAGTGAAACCGAAAGTAGACATCAAACTCTACCCTTATACATTTTACAAAATAACACTATTAAACATATACTAAAGGGATATGGTAGCTACATTCTTATGATCGTGGGAGTGACTCTCCATATTTCCTTTCTTAGTCGTTTGATGAACAGCCAGCATGGTAGCCGTACAGTCAATCACGGTCATATTTCCAGTCCGTGCAAACAGAACTAGCCAATTATCGTAAGCCGTAAGTCCAATAGCAAGCTCTGGAATCGTCTCCCAAGGGAAACTGTGGTCCGTTATAAAATAATCCTCCGCGTCTGTATTAAAAAGTCGTCCCCTTTTTGAAATCCTATGAAGGTTATGAAAGGTTGACGATTCAGCCAGAGTCACATTAAGAACATTTGTTCTTTGTCCAATAATTAACAGAGATTTATTTTTGGGTAAAGATGGCGCAGAATTTACAGCCGTTATTGTTTTTATCAACCCATCGTCAAATAAAATATCACTATTAACATAGGCATAGAAACTCGATCTGTATTTGTGTTTAACTTGTATGTACATATATTTCAGTATGGGCACATTATAAGGTGACATATGAAGAAGAGGCAGGTATTCCCAACCGTATTCAATAGCTTGTGCAATAACAGCAGATTCATTAGTAAATACAACTGGTTGGACGTGCGGCTTAAATTGTTTCCAGTTCAGAAACGTATTTGTGTGGACCGTTGTTTTATCGGGGTCCATTTTCCACGTGGTGAACAGAACCAATAATAAATCTGCAGACCTGTTCGACTTTTGAAGTTTGTTGGATATCTTCCAGTATCGGGTATCCAACCATCCTTGTTGAATAAACAAAAGACAGACACACACCAACAGGACTAAGTACCATACCTTATGACTGCTTACCAGGAACATCTGTAAGAATAATATAGTGTTTTAAAATACACATGTGACGTCATCCTTTGATGTTGGCGTACCATTATTTCCAATAATGTACGGGCAACTTGCCAATCGTACATTATCTATACCAGATGAAATATTTGACTCGAGTGACATATTTCATTGAAAAGCACGTGTGGGATAGTGTCTGTATTTTAAATTGTTTAATTGTGTCGAGCTAAAAACATTGCGTAATATATTGAAACAACACTCGGCTAACGCCTCGTGTAGTATCATTATATTACTTAATGCCTCGCTCTCGACCATTAAGTGATGGATAATGACCGAAGACTGTCCATTATGTAAATAGAACAAATGAGGGGTGTTAGCCCCGAAGTCTAACGCCCCTCAGTTGTTCATTCTATTTACATAATGGACAGTCTGAGGCTATTATCAAACTTAAAACATAGCACCATAGAAATACAAATAATGGATAGTTTTCTCAAAGAACAAGCATCAAAAAAATGGATAGATCTTTAAAACAACATGCACCTGCACATGAATGCATGTTGTACAAGTTTATACGGTTAATGACATTCATTCTCAGTTAAAGGGAGATAACTCCTGTTTTAAAAATGCTTTAGTTTAGAGATTATGTTGGCATATGGACACAGTTCACTAAAGATTTCCCCATTGACTCCAATGTTAATCCTCGTATCTTAGACCGGCTCTAACTTTTTCCCAAATTTTCGTTGGGTAGAACGCTTTCTACCACAGATGGAGCAACATGTGGCAACCACTTGCCCAAAAGCACGTATGAGGTTCTTCATGAAAAACTTGAGATACACAAGCTGGAAGTACAGACAAGTAAACATGCAATTTCAGGCCCTACATTTCAACCTAACCAACCTCTCAACTCTTGTATCCTCCCGCATCAAAATTATGAATATTCACCAAAGCCTGGCAGAAAATGTATTTTCAAACCCTTTTCCTCGATTCTACACCAAAAAGTCAACAAAAATCGCCATGCAAAAGGGGGAAAAAGGAAAAGGGAGAGGAAGACTAAATATAGCTTTGGCCCTTGTTTCGTGGGTGACGACGTAGGAATATTTGGTGATCTGTGTCCTATATAGGGGTGAAACTTCAGGTATCACCAAAAGGCCCTTTTTATTTCCTTCCCATGGGTTCTGACAACAGGCCGGTGAAAGAAAATCAAAATCAAAGAATAACTGTAAAAATGATGGCCCTTTAAGCACACATGCTGCTTTATGTACACTGGTGCATCTCAGGTCCATAGGCCTTTTGTGCTAAGATTTAAAAATCTTTCTTATCAAAGGCAGTATCTGAGTTCTGTGAAAAAATTAGACAAGTTACAAAGAAACTACATACAAAACACTCATAATTTTGAATTTTTTTCAAAAATATAATTTTTTACTGCCATGTGATGAAAAATGTACAAAATTTACATGTAGCATCTCTCAAAATACCAATAATTTTCCACTTTTTTAAATATCCTGACGGACAAGAAATATATTTTTAGAATCTGTGGACAATATGCAAACGGAAAAAATGCAAACCAGTTGCAATGATTGTAATATTAGAGATCTATACTGAAACATGTATGCCTACCCCTGAACATGCCACTGATTGAATTAATCTAATCTATGGTTGCAGAACTTACATTACCAAAGGAATCTGTCTAACAGCTATGTTTTACCATCCCTGGCTAACATATGCACATATAAACTAAAATAGGTGCAATAAATATGAATTATGGTTAAAAATAGGCCTTAATAATTGAATGAAAAAAATGCCATATTTGGTCTATGATCACCCCTCTCTAACAGAAGAGTCACAGAATACACAATTTTCACAAATTTGGGAATATTTCAATGTTTCCAACATCTCAAACCTCAGAGGCATATTACAAATTTGTATTGCAATCCTTGTGCTGAAGCAAGATGTCTGGAACTTTACATTAATTTCCTGAAAAAAGAAGTCAAAAAAGTAGTCATGACAGAGTTGACAACATAAAAAGAGGCCTGAAAAGGAGAAAAATTAAAATTTTATTGTTTTATAGGCAACATAAATGCAGCAAACACCACAAATGCTGGATTTTGATAAGAAAATATTGAACATTTAACTGACATTTACACATCTACACCAGTTTTATATCTGGGTCTGGTCTCATTGGCCTGAAATGCCTCAGTGTTCTACGTTTGACTCTGAACAAATAAGGGTTAGAAATCCTTGAAATGCACAAAAAAAATATTTTTGTGTGAAAAATAACATTCTTAGCTGTAATTCAACCACAAATTCCAATTAAGATCATTTACATGTCAACACAGGTGCATTTAAATCCCTCAAAACACATTAATAGAAAAGGGTTGGGCATTTATTGCCTCTCTAAACAGAATGATGGAGTAAAAAATGTCTAGAAAGGCTGGGATATTGCTTCCTACATGAAGGAAATGTAAGAATTTAATGTTTCAAAGAAGAAAAAATGCTTATTCTGGGTAAAATAGTGGCAAAATTGAGCCAACCCCTGTTTTGAACATTTTGTACAAACCCATCTGCTGTACATTATTAACTCAGTGTTACCAATTTTCAATTTTCTGTAGGAAAGCTGGAGCTATTTCTAAACCTGACAAACATGTAGATCCCATCTAAGTTATATTAGCAAAGAAAATATGGGCATTTTTAGACATTTTGACTCATTTTAGTAGTCATGAAATATTAATTTCTACATCGAAATGGGGGGAATCTCAAGATTTTTTGTGAATATTCCTGATCTTTAGACAAAATTTGGTGAAATTTCAATACTGTTCACTTTATTTGTGCTTTCTGAGACTGAATAAGCCAACATTGGGCATTAGAATATTTTACTTACTGTTAAAAATTCAATAAAAATTGAAAAATGAGAAATTTGCAGTAAAATCACAATTTTTCTTCAAAACTTTGATTTTTTTTTTTTTAATTAACTTTTTTTAGTTTTTCTGTAGCCAAACTATTTTATTCATATTTTCTGAGAATTTAATCTTCATATTTTCAAAACTAAGGCATATCAGTGACAACCTTATCACACACAGACAGGACACAGTTCACTAAAGATTCCCCATTGACTCCAATGTTAATTCTCGTATCTTAGACCGGCTCTAACTTTTTCCCAAATTTTCGTTGGGTAGAACGCTTTCTACCACAGATGGAGCAACATGTGGCAACCACTTGCCAAAAAGCACGTATGAGGTTCTTCATGAAAAACTTGAGATACACAAGCTGGAAGTAGAGACAAGTAAACATGCAATTTCAGGCCCTACATTTCAACCTAACCAACCTCTCAACTCTTGTATCCACCCGCATCAAAATTATGAATATTCACCAAATCCTGGCAGAAAATGTATTTTCAAACCCTTTTCCTCGATTTTACACCAAAAAGTCAACAAAAATCGCCATGCAAAAGGGGGAAAAGGGAGAGGAAGATTAAAAATAGCTTTGGCCCTTGTTTCGTGGGTGACGGCGTAGGAATATTTGGTGATCTGTGTCCATATGCCATCTGAGAGTTCTAATGTTACCCATATGTAAATCTCTACTGTCTAGTATTAATAAAACCCGATACAAAACATGGTCTGACGAGAAGGATGGTGAAGGTAGAAGTATGGATGATAAGGAAAAGACCAGAAAGGTACGTGGAGGGCAGAGGGGATTTGTGAAGAAAACCGTATCAAGTTAATGAATTGTTAGCATCAATCAGTCATCGATCAGCTTGTGACGAAAATGTCATTGAAAGACTGCAGGGTTTTAAACAGACTTTAAAAGATAAAGTAGATGCCCTTAGAAATTTAGATGAAAAGATTTTGGACTGTCTTGATGAAAATAATGATATTGAAACAGAAATATTTGATAGTAGCGAGTTTTGTAAATTTATTTTCAAATCTTTAATTAGAATTGATCGTGTTTTAGAGGCGGAACCTGTCCCAAAGCCTGATCAGAATATCAGTCAAAATCAGTATAAGGATATAGCACCTACAAGTCATGAAATTATTCCACCAGCCAGTCTCGACACAGCAGGTGTCAGCAATCAAAGTCACAGTCAAACTACTACAAGTCGTATCGACAGGGCAAGTAATAATTCAAAGGCTCGCCTGACAAAGTTGACACTTAATAAATTCTCAGGTGATTCTAAAGAGCGGAAATTGTTTTGGTGTAGTTTTTCTGCTGCTGTAGACAGTAATGAATATTTAACCAAAGTTGACAAATTCAACTATCTTAGAAGTTTGCTTGATGGAGTAGCAGCATCTTCAATTGCCGGCATTACCCTGTCGGAGAAAAATTATGATTCAGTAGTGAAATTGCTGATAGATTCGCCAATGCCCAGGTGATTATATCCAGCCACATGGATGCATTACTCGGTCTTAACCCACGGTGGCTAAGTGGGTAAGACGCTGGCTCGCTAGCTGGAGGTCGGGTGTTCGATCCCTGCATTGGCCGAGAAAGTTCATCCAGATTTTCCGGCGTGGTTTCCCGTTGTCAGTGATGCTGGATGGAGGACCTCACAAGGATAACTGTCTAGTCGATCGGATGGGACGAAAACCGAGGTCCCGTGTACACATTGGCGTGCATGTAAAAGATCCCTTGACAGTTGGAATTCGATATAAGAGTAGACCGTAGTGCCGCTGTTCGGGCAAAATTCCCTCATAGCACACTGTATGGCGTATGCTCGTCTTCATTAGCCCAGTTCGGAGCAAAACAGTAGGACGTTAAACCCCATTTCATTTCATAACCCAGTCAAGGACCCCAACGATTTAAAAAAAAAAAACAACCTAGATTGTTGTTTGATACTATTGAGACAAACATTAGAAATTTACAGAGTTTGGGAATGTCAACCGAGTCATATGGAAGCCTGCTTATCTCACTAATCCTTCAGAAAATTCCTGAAGAATTAAGCTTGCTTATTACCCGTCAATTCAAATCTGAGAAGTGGAAGTTTAAGGAAATATTATCCGGAATCAAATCTGAATTAGGGGCTCGAGAACGCT